AACCTTCTTGAATTCTGGGGTTTTTATGCATAACATCCTAAACTTTAGACCGTCTCACAAAACCACCCCGAGATTAACATTTCTCTTCCTTTAATTTATAAATAAATAAATAAATAATTTTAGGGAGCTTTCTACGACACCCAAATTTCAGAAAAAAGGCCTAAAAAGTTCAAGATGTTTTGTGAAAATACCCTTTATGATTCGCCATACTGTTAAGTTAGAACTTGAGAAAATAACAAGTATAAGATAAAAGATATGATTGTTTCAATTTTACAAACTCACCAAGAAAGAACAGCTACTACTTTTTCTTTGATATAAACTCCTAAAAATTATATTGCATTGATAGTCTTAATTAGATTTTACATGCTCAAATTGTTATGCACAGAAAATTTAATTGTTGTCATACGTGCTTTTGCATGTGCTATAATAATTGTTGGAGGCAGACGGAAGTATGGTGGGTTTGGGATAACAAATAAGAGTGTTTAACGGCTAAAAAATAGTAAACAACAAAAAGTATAGTGCTGAAATTTACAAAGATGCTATCCTGCAATATATTTTTCTTTTCTTTTAGAAAAATACATAAGGCATCATGGAATAGGGAGCCGACACCTCACTTGTCCCATGTAGGGTCTCATGTTTTTTGGTCCCTGTAGCACAACCCTTTCTTTTATTATGAGCTTAAAAGATTGTTTATAATTCACCCTTGCAAGTCTGATGCAAAATACAAGTGATGGAGTTCTTTGGAACTCTTCTAAGAATATGAAAAGACCCTTAATAAAGACTCTAGGAAATTGACACCACTTAATACTCTTTTGAAGACTAACTTATAAACCGTAGACTCTAGACATTTTTGGACTTTTGACTGTGTTAACCATGCTAGAGAATATCTTTGAGAATTAGATATCATCTCACAAATTCCCCCTCTTAATTTGCAATTTTCAATAGAGCCTTAAGCTTCTCAAACTTTTTAGATGTAATTGCTTTAATATGCATGTCTGCTGGCTGGTCATTGGTGTTGATAAACTCCAGTTGAATTTCTCCTTTGTTCACCAAGTCTCTGATGAAATGATGTCGAAGTTCAACATGCTCTATTTTATTATGAAACAGCAGAACTTTTGTCATGGCAATTGCAGACATATTGTCACAGAAAATAGTTGTAAGTTTCTCTTGCTTTTGGCCCAAATGTGCAATTATCCTCAACCAAATTGCCTCACATGTCACTTCTGTAGCTATAGTATAGTCTGCTTCAGCTAAAGACAAAGCCATCATTTGTTGCTTCTTTAAGCTTTACCAAATCATATTTGAACTTAAACAAAGCATATATGCTAAAGTTCTTTTTCTATCACCTGTTGAACCTACCCAGTCACTGTAACTGTATCCAACTAGTGCGCTTTCCTTTTCTTTCAAGTATTTGATGCTAAGTTTTCTGTTGCCATGAAGATACCAAAGAATTCTCTTTGCAGCAGCATAATGGAAATTGCTTAGCTCATTCGTGAATTTGGAAACCATGCTCGCAGCTTACGTAATATCAGGCATTGTATGAGTTAAGTACAATAACAACCAAACTAGGCTACTGTCAGGACCGTCTCAAGCATTTTTGAGGCTCTAGGCAAGGAAAAATATTTAGGGCCTTAATAGTTTAAAAAAATTAAATATTAGTTTTAAAAAAATAGATTTTATATAAAATTTAATTTTTTGGCTTTTTGAGATGCAAATTACTAATTAAAATTTTATATTCAAGTTTTGATAATAAATCCTTTTCAATTGATAAAATTGCCAAAACATTTAATCTTTCTTGAAACATTGTTGAGACATTGCCAAATTATATTAGTTTTTCCATTTTTTTTACTGTTACAATCTAATTAATTATAGAAATTAAATATAAAAAGTTATAATTAAACTTTATTAGTGTTCTTTTCCAAAGATAAAGATAATTATGGATAATTATAGCAATAAATGATCATATATATATATATATTGTATATATTTTTGGGGGCCCCAATAAAATGGGGGCCTAGGAACATGCCTTAGTGGCCTATGCCTTCAGCCGGCCCTGGCTCCTGTGTTGTGACGACCCCTGGGTTCACACAAGGCTACAGTCCAAGGTGAATCCAAGGATGTCAAACCTGCTATGCACCCATAGTGTACAATAACATGTTTTACCATCACAGAAGTATCTCTCTAGTGGAATCAAATAAAACAGTACAGGTACAAGCATATATAAAAGATGAATACAGGAAGTTAAGCATAGAAATAAAGATAAATCTCAGAAATGATCTAGTCTCAACTGATATAAAAATAAAGATGTCCAACAATCAGATACAAATGATCCATAAACTCAACTACATGAGTCAACTGAAAATACATATGTTCTCAACTCTCAAAACGAAATGCAAAACTAATAATCAACTAGAAACATAAACTAAACATCTGTGGAGCAGGAACTACTACAAATAACTGACGGCGACTATGCTGAAAGTCCGTCAACCTGTGGCTCTCCGAAACTCTGCTCCACTGTCTGAAAAGAAGTGAAAACCACAACGTCAGAGTGCTAGCAAGATCATCTCCATCCGCCCCCAGGGGAAGCACTAGTAAGTATGATGGAAGCTCTACCTATAAGTACATAGTCTACCTAGATCATTTACCCTGTACTAAATGGGATTAATACTTAGAAACCCACAACACGAGACTAGTACATCGAGTGAAATAATCCAAACAAGGAAACCCTCATATATATACTATATGTCTCAAATTGTGAATCACTAAATATTAACTCCAAAACTAAGAATAAATGAATACAAGAAAAACAATACAGTAAATACCACATCAACCATTTCCGAAAATATCATATCAACTCCTTATACTATCCTTAGTGGGCAAAACATATACTGATACAATATCTCGTGTAACTAAGTTATGAAATACCTTCACAATGAATCATATCGAAAGATTATCAACTTTCACCTACACATAGGTTATCATCAAATTTATCAAATCGTCCTTCTATGGAATTTTCTAACTCATCGCACCCCGTGCGGACAGTTAAATAGATATGTTAACTCATCGCATAACCATGCGGATCGATAGATAGGTGTGTCAACCTTTGCGCATATTCATGCGGACTGATAAATAGGTTCAATGACCCCTGCGCACACTCGGGCGGACCAGTAAATAGGTTCAACGACCTCTGTGCATACTCGTGCGGACCAAAAGAATATAGAGGAGTGAAGTCCATCGTGATCTCATTTGCAGACCTGACTAAAGCACTCGGAGTGTAGTCCATCCGTAGTCTTATTGCAGGACCCGACTAACCCCACCCAACAAATTGTAAATATAATATACTATATAGTTGTTACTTGTAACAAACACCACTATTCGAGTATCCTTAACGATGTAATCATGCGTACTCAATCCCTGTATGTGTACTCCTCAAACTACGCGTGAATATCAGCTCACGACTTGCACAAAACGCTCGCCAAACGAACCCACAAACGAAAGAAATAAGAAAAAACAAATAATACCTGATCAGTCGACCAGTCTGGAGCGTCGGTCGACTAATCGACTGAAAGCACTATGCCGACACTACCTTATCAGTCGACTGACTCACACAGTCAGTCGACTGATCTGGCCGATTATGCCAGATCCAGCTTTTTGACTGTATTTCTTCAAATTTTAGATTTATATCAACTTATATGATCAAAACTTGATTCAAAACTCATGAATATCATCAACAAGGGTTTATTTAACCAAGATAAATCACTTGCATACTAACCAAAGCTAAACTGTAATTGACATGTTAAAATAAAATCCTATGATCATGATCACGTGCTAAACAAATTATAGAAAAGAATTCTACTATTTATAGCCTGATTTAAGTTTTAAACATCATAAGTTAAATTCTAACACATTAGATTAACTTTAAGCATGGGAATTATCATAAATAACATATAAAACTTGATTTTTAAACTAGGGAACGGTTTGGACAGAGGTGATCTTGCCTCAAACATTGTGTTGAACTCTTAAACACGTGCGCGCAAGATTACTCTTTGCCAAGCTCGCAAATCCCGTCTTCCTCTCGATGAATGCCTCAAGTAAACTCCTAAAAACTTATAGATTAGGGTTAGGGTTTTAGAAGGAAGGTGGCTACTACTAACTCACATAAAAAAATAAGGGAAAGANGAAAGAGGTTCAAAATGATTATAAATACTCATGTACACAACTGGGCCCGAAGCCAAACAAAACCGACCTGACAATTCTTTCACGAGCTCTGGAAGCACGACGGTCAACTGATGCTATGGCATCAGTCGACCAGCCAATGGTCATTGGTAGACTGATGTCATAGCATCGGTCGACCTTCCAGAGGTCGTTTCTAGCCAACTGCAACTGTGCACGCATGTGCATGTTTACGCTCCTGCACTCTTATATACACGCTTATATACACACTTATATGTATTTAATCGATCTCGAATCGATTTTTAACATATTCAACCATTAATAAATGATATTTATTATGATATAACTCAATTATTATCATTTATCATAATATATCCAAAAATTACGGGGTTTTACATTCACCTCCCCTTAAAAGAATTTCCTCCTCAAAATTCTGCAATCATATCTTAGAGATTAATAATACCAAAAAAGCACATTGAGGGGATAATCAAGACAAGGAAACCCTCACATACACATCTCGTACTATTAATCTCCAGATATAAAACATAAGTGATATTTACACTTAACAATCTAGAATGTAAATACTCCCACTTAATCCCTAACTAAATGAAACTAGTACTTCGGGCGAAAATCCAAATAAGGAACCCCCCCCTCAATGTATATACCATATGATCTGAATGATTAGGAGCTAAGTGTTAATACCCCCATTCTAGCGTTAAATATAAATACGACTATACATATAATCATGAACACAAGCAATTCATAGCTAATCATTTTACCTGCTCAAACAGGTGCGGGTAGTCGTGACGCATATTCTCTTCGAGCTCTCAAGAAGCCTCCTCAACTCCTTTACGGTTCCATTGAACTTTGACTAAAGGAATAATCTTATTTCTAAGCTTCTTGTCCTCTCTGACAAGAATGCAAACAGGGACCTTGATAGTTGTCAAATCTGGCTGAATCTCAAATTCTGGTGCATCAATCACCCTCTGCTGCTCCTTGTCACGCAAATTCTTTTTTAGCATCGAAACATAAAATACATCGTGTACACTCAATATCGATGTTGGAAGATTTAGCCTATATGATACGACTCCAATGTGCTCAACAATCTTGAATGGACCAACATATCTCAGGGCAAGTTTTCTCCGTCTGCCAAATCGCTGAACACCCTTCATCGGTGACCCCTTCAACATGACAATCTCCTTACCTGAAACTCTAAAGGTCGTCACCTCTGGTCTGCATAGCTTTTTTGCTGACTCTAAGCAGCCAGAATACGTTCTTGAATCAATGCTACCTTCTCTGTAGTCTGTCTCATGAGTTCTGGCCCAAGCAATAAACTATCCTCCGGCTCTGCCCAACAAATCGGGGATCTACAAGGCCTCCCATACAACGCCTCATACGGTTCCATACTTATAGTCAATTGATAACTGTTGTTATAAGAAAACTCAATCAATAGGATGTGATCCTCCCAGTTGCATTGGAAATTGATGACGTATGCCCACAACATATCCTCTAACACTTAGTTCACTCTCTCCGTCTAACCATCTATCTGCGGGTGAAAGACACTGCTATATGACAACTGGCTGCTTCTGGAAACTCTTCTAGAAATGGGATGTGAAAACTGAACATTGATCTAACACGATTGTCTCCGGAACTCCATGCAATCATACAATTTCCTGAACAAAAATCCTCGCATAAGCCTCTGCCATGTATGTCGTCTTAACCGGCAAGAAGTGTGTCGACTTCATTAATCGGTCTACAATCACCCAAATGGAATCATTCCCCTTGCTCGACCTCGGCAAGCCCACAATAAAATCTATGGAAATATCTACCCACTTCCACTCAGGATTGGGTAAAGGCAGTAGGGTTCCTGCGAGTCTCTGATATTCTGTCTTTACTTGCTGACATATAAAGCACTTAGCAACGTACTCCACAATCTCCCTACGCATGCCACTCCACCAAAAATGTCTCTTCAGGTCCTTATACATTTTGGTTGTGCCTGGATGCACTGTGTACCTGGTGCGATGTGCCTCATCAAATAAATCCTTCTTCAATTGTGGATTATTCGGCATGACTAACCGGCTGTTTGTAGAAAATTTGTAGTAAAAGAAATGAAGGAAAATTGATTTGTATTCCTTTAATCTCAGTTACAATTGGATTTCCTGATTACAAAAGAGAAGAGAATGAATTTCAATTCTCACCTTTGTTTAATACTGGGTTCTTCACGATAGCGATGGAGTGCTTCCTTCGAGTGCCTGCGTCGAATTTGCTCTCCGTTGACGATCCGACCGTCCTGTCTCACGGGAATGATTAACTTGTATGACAAGTTTGATTTAGAACTCTTAACGAGTTTAAGAACTCAGAACGAGTTAAAAACTCTAAAAGGAGTTGTTGAAAACTGAATAATCGGTTAGTAGCCAAGTGGATTTGTTTGTGGCTGAAGAAGCTTTCGAGATTTGATTTCCTAACTGCCAAGCAGTCTCTTGTGCTGCTTTTGGAGATGATTCAATCTTTGAAATCAGGCCGAAATCTCCAATCTCCTAAGAATTCGGCCTCTACAACAAAGAATCCAACCTTATGTGGTTTTGATCTCAAAATCTTCCACCCCTTACTCAGTTGAGTAATGCGGTTATTTATAGGGGTATAAGGGGTGTAACCAACCCCTAAATCCGCTCCTAAGTAGGCAAAAATCCCTCAAAACGTGGGATAAACGGTTTTGAGGCCGTTCAGCTTGTGTTTGAACAACTAAAACGCCTAGATTGGCGTTCTGGAATTTAACTCTGCGTCAGAGACTTGGGACGTAGAGTTGGATATCTGCTATGAATTGAAAACGCATAGGCCGCTCGCGTTCTGAGCCTTAACTCTGCGTCGCAGAGTTGCCTACTCGCTAGAAATTAAAGACGCACGGGCCGTTTGCACGCTGAGTCTTAACTCTGTGTCTTGGATTTGAGACGTAGAGTTGGGTGTCTGCTGAAGAACGCATAGGCCGCGTGCATTTTGAGTTGAGAAGAGCAGAGGTGGACTCTGCGTTTGGAGGAAGTTGTTGACTTGTAACCTCTTCTATTACAGCGTTGCGAAGACTATTGCTCGTTGATCTTTAACTTTAGAATTGTTAAATGGATCGTGAAAGTCATCAGATTGTAAACATCTACAGTTGGTTGTGAAGGCTACGCTGAAATAGATGTATAGTATAATCAGTTGTCGAAAAGTGTCGCATTGAATTTATAAAACTTTCAAACTCGAGTCTGATCTATGTAAAAAAGTCTCCGTTTATGCAGCTTTCATTTGTTGAGGTGAAAGATAATAACACCTGATTGTAATTGTTACATTCAGTTGAGCGGCTGTAATAAGTGGACTTGGGACAATCAACCACAATCTAATTGCTGATTTTTAGACAGCCTTACAGAATCCATCCAAGTTTTCGAATCCTACGATTCTACTGCGCACGGATTGCTGGACGAGATTCGGAATACTTTTGGATCCCAAACAATTTAGTTGATTCGATATGGCACCTTTACGAACCTGAAGTTATGAAAGGAACATCGCAAACACCGTTTGTATCAGAAATAGTTCGAAATTCTGTTTCCGAACAAACAAGATGACTTTTGAGTTTTGTATGACAAAGAACATTAGTGCAAACTAAGCTTAAAAACAAGTTAATTGCTGAAATGACCCAGACAAAGAGCGATGATTGTCAACAAATTTTATTTGGTCTTTGGATACTCCTAGCATTCAATCTGTTATGAAGGATGTATTACATCGGATTTCATTCTGGATCTTACAGATACTATTTCCGCCAGAACAGAGAAGAATGACACAGATGGGATCTTGCGCGGATGAGGTGTATTCATCGGATTTCGTCTGGATCCTTTAGATACTCCACTTGATCTGCAATGTATTCTTTCATCCAGAGAATTCTTATAGGCATTGATGAACACCCGAAATGCAGCTTTCAGCTTCATTGATCTTAGTGGGAATGTTAAGCCACTTAGAAGAATGAGTTGTGCGCAGCTCCTGTCTTCATTAATCTTTGTGGGAATGTTAAGCCATTTAAAAGAATGAGTTGTGCGCAGCTCCTATCTTTATTAATCTTTGTTGGGATGTTAAGCTATTTGGAAGAATGAGTTGTGCGCAGCTCCTGTCTTTATTACTCTTGGTGGGAATGTTTAGCCACTTAGAAGAATGAGTTGTGCGCCGGATCGATCCTAACGATTTTAGTATTGTTGACTGTAATCTATCTATACTCATCCAAGAGGTTGCATAGCTGTTCGTCATACGTCAGTTTCTTCTCGGCTTTGGTCACCTTGATGGCCGACATTAGCTTTCCTTTAAAGCTATGTCTTGGTTTTAACCGTCGAGAACTTCATTTGGTAGCGTTAAAATGCACAGGTGGATTCCTACGCTTGAGAATTGAAACACAAAGGTGAACTCTGCGTCCAGAAGTTCAACCAACGCAGGCGCACAAGCCGCATTTGGTGGGATTCTGGGCCTAAAATCTCGCTCTGATTCGACAGCTCACAGCTGTCTATAAATAGACCGCTGGGGTCAAATCAAAAGTCATCCGACTTTTCATCTGTTATTTTTCGAAAAGCTTAACGAAAACTCTTCGTTTTGAACTCCGGTGAACCCTACTCATCTTCTCCGACCATCATCCTCAATGGGTCCCAGAAAGAAGACGGTCTCCCATCCCAAGTCCACCGTTGCTGCTGTTCAGAGCTCGCGGCAAACCTCGGTCGTCGGCGGTGATGTAACTCAAACTAGTGCGCCGCCGACGCAAGCTCCTCTCGTCGGTGGTAAGTATCAACTTCCATGGCCACAAAACTTGCCTCGGCAAGATCTGAGCAATGAGGAAACTCGTTCTGATGTTATAACGCAGAGTTAGGACTCTGCGTTTTGAATTCGAAACGTTAGGGTCCGACTTTTGCGCTCGAATTTTGTAACGCATGACTTAGACTCCGCGTTTGAATAACTAACGCAAAGTCTGACCTCTGCGTTAATTAGATTTGAAGCAGGGTCTGGACTGTGCATTTGAATAACTAACGCAAAGTCTGACCTCTGTGTTAATTAGATTTGACGTAGGGTCTGGACTGTGCGTTTGAGTGCTTAACACAAGGTTTGACCTCTGCGTGAACACCCGAAATGCAGCTTTCAGCTTCATTGATCTTAGTGGGAATGTTAAGCCACTTAGAAGAATGAGTTGTGCGCAGCTCCTGTCTTCATTAATCTTTGTGGGAATGTTAAGCCATTTAAAAGAATGAGTTGTGCGCAGCTCCTATCTTTATTAATCTTTGTTGGGATGTTAAGCTATTTGGAAGAATGAGTTGTGCGCAGCTCCTGTCTTTATTACTCTTGGTGGGAATGTTTAGCCACTTAGAAGAATGAGTTGTGCGCCGGATCGATCCTAACGATTTTAGTATTGTTGACTGTAATCTATCTATACTCATCCAAGAGGTTGCATAGCTGTTCGTCATACGTCAGTTTCTTCTCGGCTTTGGTCACCTTGATGGCCGACATTAGCTTTCCTTTAAAGCTATGTCTTGGTTTTAACCGTCGAGAACTTCATTTGGTAGCGTTAAAATGCACAGGTGGATTCCTACGCTTGAGAATTGAAACACAAAGGTGAACTCTGCGTCCAGAAGTTCAACCAACGCAGGCGCACAAGCCGCATTTGGTGGGATTCTGGGCCTAAAATCTCGCTCTGATTCGACAGCTCACAGCTGTCTATAAATAGACCGCTGGGGTCAAATCAAAAGTCATCCGACTTTTCATCTGTTATTTTTCGAAAAGCTTAACGAAAACTCTTCGTTTTGAACTCCGGTGAACCCTACTCATCTTCTCCGACCATCATCCTCAATGGGTCCCAGAAAGAAGACGGTCTCCCATCCCAAGTCCACCGTTGCTGCTGTTCAGAGCTCGCGGCAAACCTCGGTCGTCGGCGGTGATGTAACTCAAACTAGTGCGCCGCCGACGCAAGCTCCTCTCGTCGGTGGTAAGTATCAACTTCCATGGCCACAAAACTTGCCTCGGCAAGATCTGAGCAATGAGGAAACTCGTTCTGATGTTATAACGCAGAGTTAGGACTCTGCGTTTTGAATTCGAAACGTTAGGGTCCGACTTTTGCGCTCGAATTTTGTAACGCATGACTTAGACTCCGCGTTTGAATAACTAACGCAAA